ACCGGCATCTACATGGGATGCCAGCACCTCAGGCAGATGCTTAACCTACCATGCCGCAGAGCCAGCCCATCAATTGGTATTTCAAGTAGAGAATTTCAGATGAAAATATATAATTGAAAAAAAAGGGGGGGTGGCCGGCGCCGCGGCTCACTAGGCTAATCCTCCGCCTTGCGGCGCCGGCACACCGGGTTCTAGTCCCGGTTGGGGTGCCAGATTCTGTCCTGGTTGCCCCTCTTCCAGGCCAGCTCTCTGCTGTGGCCAGGGAGTGCAGTGGAGGATGGCCCAGGTGCTTGGGCCCTGCACCCCATGGGAGACCAGGAAAAGCACCTGGCTCCTGGCTTCGGATCAGCGCAGAGCGCCGGCCGCAGCAGCCATTGGAGGGTGAACCAACGGCAAAAGGAAGACCTTTCTCTCTGTCTCTCTCTCTCTCTGTCCACTCTGCCTGTCAAAAAAAAGGGGGGGGGGTGGCAGCGCTGTGGTATAGTGGTAAAGCCGCCACCTGCAGTGCCGGTATCCCATATGGGTGCTGCATTGAGTCCCGGGGGTTTCACTTCCAATCCAGCTCTCTGCCATGGCCTGGGAAAGCATTGGAAGGTGGCCCAAGTCCTTGGGCTCCTATATCCATGTGGGAGACGTGGAAGAAGTACCTGGCTCCTTGCTTCAGGTTGGTACAGCTCTGGCTGTTGCAGCCAATTGGGGAGTGAACCAGCAGATGGAAGGATGGAAGTCTCTGTCTCTGTCTCTGTCTGCCTCTCTTTCTCTGTCTGTGTAACTGACTTTCAAATAAATAAATCTTAAGAAAGAAAAAAAGGAGGCTGGTGCTGTGGCTCACTTGGTTAATCCTCCACCTGCAGCGCCGGCATCCCATATGGGTGCTGGGTTCTAGTCCCAGTTGTTGCTCCTCCAGTCCAGCTCTTTGCTGTGGCCCGGAAGGGCAGTGGAGGATGGCCCAAGTGCTTGGGCCCCTGCACCCGCATGGGAGACCAGGAGGAAGCACCTGGCTCCTGACTGTGGATCAGTGTAGCGCTGGCTGTGGCGGCCATTTGGGGCGTGAACCAACGGAAGGAAGACCTTTCTCTCTGTCTGTCTCTCTGTCTATAACTCTGCCTGTCAAATAAAAAAAAAAAAAAAAAAAAAGAAAAAATGGTAGCTCAGGGCGCTGTTGCGGCCATTTGGGGAGTGAACCAGCAGATGGAAGATTCTCTCTCTCTCTCAGTCTCTCTCTTTCTTCCTCTATCTCTCTTTCTCTCCCTGTGTAACTCTGACTTCCAAATAAATAAATAAATAAATCTTAAAAAAAAAAAAGTTAGCTCAGGGCTGGCACTGGGCACAGGGTGTGAAGCCATTGCCCACTGCACCAGCATTGCATATGGACACTAGTTCAAGTCCCAGCTGCTCCACTTCTGATAAAGCTCCCTGCTGTTGTGCCTGGGAAAGCAGCGAAGGGGGATCCCGGTTTCAGGGCCCCTGTCCCCTTGTGAGAGACCCGGAGGGAGCTCCTGGCTGCTGCGGATTTCATTGCAGCCATTGGGCAGTAAACCAGGGAATGGAAAATAGCTCTGTTTCCCTCTCTGTAACTGTGACTTTCAAATAAATAATTTTTTTAAGAAAGGTAAGTTAATAAATTAGGCATTTATTCAACCTAAGTTGTGGTCAGCAGAGAAAAGCCAGGTTCCATAAAATTTAAGATAATACTTGCTTTTCCACGTTGGCTCCCACTGGGGCATCCTTTTCCGATTTTGTTTAAAATAACGCCAGAAAAGTATGTTCAAGCTCACACACGTTAGGATCCTTTGATTTGAGGACAGCTTGTCTCAGTTTGCACTCTTTAAAATACGTTGGCATGCACACATAAACACATACATTCCCTGCCTTGGGAATGAATCGTTTTCTATAAAAATCCCTAGCTGCTTAGAGCTTTAACTTCTGGAATGAAAAGTGTGTTATCTTTAATACTGAGTTTCTGTGTAAACAAATGCTTTGTTCACTTAAATGTATGATTTTTCAAAACTAGTGTGATTAAAACAGTAACAGGATTTGATTATTTTAAAATTAGACTTACAAAGAGGTAGAGACAGAGAAAGAGGTCTTCCAACTGCTGGTTGACTCCCCAGATGGGAGTCAGGAGCCAGGAGCTTCTTCCTGGTCTCCTGCACAGGTGCAGGGGCCCAAAGACTTGGGCCATCCTATGCTTCAAGGATCTTACATATAAAGTAATCATCCTGTTACTTATAGAAAATAAAGTGTCTAATTTTGAATTTTCCTGTAGTCTGGTTTTCCGTTTCTAGGTTTGTGATAATCAAAGGAATCTCTGGATGCTAATACAGGTTATTATTTGATGTTTTCTTGGGAACATTTCACATTCTTGTAAATACATGAGTAGATTCATTTTAACCCAGACCCCACATACTTTTAAGATGATGTGGGGTAGGGCCTACTTTAGGTTAGTGGCAAATCAAATCAGGTATTCAGGGCTATCAGTGCCTTCCAGTAGAAGATGGGGTGTTGGGAAAACAGCCTCTTAGAACCTGCTAGAGAGCTTTTCCAAAATGTAGCTGTCTTCCAGCAGGTGCTCCGTCTCACCCCGGCTGGGGCCTGCTCCTCTGGGGTCTCGCTCAGTGCACCCTGGGCCCTTGTCCCCACAGGGGAGCAGCACTGCTGTGGACTGGCAGCCACGCCCGTGGGTGCGGAGATGCTTTTCTTCCCTGGAATGTGTGCATACCTGCCCACCCTCCTTGGGAATGAGAAGGGTTAGAGTTAGCTGGGCTAACAGGACCTGCCTGAATTTGCTGGCTCAGATCGCTCATATTGGCCTCACCTTGCCTTTTAGGTAGACAGGGACAGTTATCAGGACAATTCAAAAATTCCTCTGCGGGGCTGGTGCTGTGGTGTAGTAGGTTAAGAACTCTGCCATAGGCCGGCGCCACGGCTCAATAGGCTAATCCTCCGCCTGAGGTGCCGGCACCCCAGGTTCTAGTCCCGGTTGCCCCTCTTCCAGTCCACCTCTCTGCTGTGGCCTGGGAGTGCAGTGGAGGATGGCCCAAGTGCTTGGGCCCTGCACCTGCATGGGAGACCAGGAGAAGCACCTGGCTCCTGCCTTCGGATCAGTGCGGTGCGCCGGCCACAGCGGCCCTTGGAGGGTGAACCAACGGCAAAAGGAAGACTTTTCTCTCTGTCTCTCTCTCTCACTGTCCACTTTGCCTGTCAAAAAAAAAGAAAAAAAAAAAAAGAACTCTGCCTGTGGTGCACTGGTCGAGTACCAGCTGTTCCACTTCTGATTCCGCTCTCTGCTATGGCCTGGGTGGGAAAGCAGTTGAAGAGGGGTTAAGTGCTTGGGCCCCTACACCCACATGGGAGACCTGGAAGAAGGAGCGCCTGGCTATGAATCAGCCCAGATCTGGCCAATGTGGCCATGGCATCCATCCAACAGATGGAAGACTTTTCCCTCTGTCTCTCCCTATCCCTTTCTCTTTCTGTCTGTAACTCTGCCTCTCAAATCTCATCTCTTCTCTTCTCTTCTCTTCTCTTCTCTTCTCTTCTCTTCTCTTCTCTTCTCTTCTCTTCTCTTCTCTTCTCTTCTCTTCTCTTCTCTTCTCTCTTTTTCTTTTTCTTTTTCTTTTTCTTTTTCTTTTTCTTTTTCTTTTTCTTTTTCTTTTTCTTTTTCTTTTTCTTTTTCTTTTTCTTTTTCTTTTTCTTTCCTTTCCTCCCCTTCCCCTTCCCCTTCCCCTTCCCCTTCCCCTTTTCCCTTTTCCCTTTTCCCTTTTCCCTTTTCCCTGTGCATTGTCTCCTTTGAAAGGGATTTACGTAGGACAGCCTTTGATTCCCCCTCTATACAAGAAAGAAGAGAATACTTAGACTGGTAACACGGGCAAAACAGCACAGCCAGATCATCAGGAGAGTCTGTCTGTGAGGTCCAGGCATGCAAGCACTAGCCACTGAAATCCAAGAGGATCCAGAATCTGTGTTTTGAGTCCCAACTCCTGACCAGGGAGAATTCCTTTGCTGGACAGCAGTGTGGTTGACTGAACATGGAAGTGCCACGTTGCCCTCACAAGCTGCTGTTCGCCAGTAGCGGTAATGGTGGAGTAGAAAGAGACACAAGTAGGGAGAGCATGTTAATAGGAAGTCCAGGCGGGCCTGCCACTGAGCCTTTCTGGAAGGCAGCGATCTAAGGTCTGAACTTTGTGACACGGGTTAAGGGAAAAAATGGGTCCTGTGACGAGATAGGCCATTTAGCATAGTGCCAGGATACTGACCCATTATATTGACCTGCGTTTGGGAAGTTGATAAAATCTCAATACATTTGGTTGCAGGTGCTCTGAAGGTATTTCTGAGTAGTGGATTCATTAACAAGAGGGATCATGTTTTACATGGATTGATAGGAATTTTGTGGATCACTTCTAAAACACATAAAGTAATTATCTTTAATATAAATGAGATGTTTTAATACATTAGAATATTTCATGTGACTTGAAAGTATATGAGAGGCTGGCACTGTGGCGTAGTGGGTAAAGCTGCTGCCTGCACTGCCGGCATCCCATATGGGCACTGGTTCAAGACCTGGCTGCTCCCAGCTCTCTGCTATGCCCTGGGAAAGCAGTAAAATATGGCCCAAGTCCTTGGGCCCCTGCACTAGCATGGGAGACCCAAAAGAAGCTCCTGGTTCCCGGCTTTGGATTGGCATAGTTCCAGCCATTGTGGCCAGTTGGGGAGTGAACCAGCAGATGGAATACCTCTCTCTCTGTAACTCTGACTTTCAAATAAATAAATAACTCTTTTTTTAAAAAAAAGTATATGAAAAGAGAATACCTTTACTAACAATTGGCTATACTGTCATACTGAGTTGAGTTTGAAACTGTACTGTTAGTGAATGTTATTCTTCCTCTATCAGAACTCCACTTTTCATAAATATTCTCTTACCATGTATCTGTTGCTAAGTCACATGTCTGTTAGTGTGCCCTTTGTCAGTTGTGATCCTCAACCAAAGCTGTCCTTTGCAGATGCGTTTACGGACTCTGCTCTCAGCGCCAGAGTGAACGGCGAGCACAGAGAAAAGGCCCTGGAACCATGGGATGCAGGCGAGCTTGCAGCCAGCGAGGACCTGGAGCCTCTGGAGAACGACGTGGTCAGTGTCCTGCCTGTCTTGCTTTTTATTTAAGTGCGCTTTTGTTGTTGATGGAGTGAATATATTTAGAGCAGTCATTTGGTTGTGAAGAGACTTCCCCCAGGCAACAAAGAAGGATGGTCTTTTACTTTATTTGTAAGGGCTAAGCAGAGGTGCTGTCTAGTCTTGTGGATGATCCTGAATTATTTATGATTAAAATAAATTGTAAGAAACTTGAAAATTTAAGTTGGAAACTGTTGGAAATGCCAGACATTTTGCCTTAGATGCAGCCAAAGGCACGGGGTATCTTAGTTGCCTTAAGACAACATAGTATCATAGTTGACTTCTCCTAAAGGGGAGGTGGAAGAAGTAGGATGCTAAAGGTCACTTATCATTAAGGTAATGGTTAGGTTACATTAGAATTCAAACATTTACATGAACTTCTTGTGTGTGTGTGTGTGTGTGTTTTTTTTTTTTTTTTTTTTTGTTAGGCAGAATTAGAGACAGAGAGAAAGGTCTTCCTTTGCCATTGGTTCACCCCCCGAAGTGGCCGCTATGGCTGGTGCATTGTTGGCGGTGCGCTGTGCCGATCCAAAGCCAGGAGCCAGGTGCTTCCTCCTGGTCTCCCATGCAGGTACAGGGCCCAAGGACCTGGGCCATCCTCCACTGCCTTCCCAGGCCACAGCAGAGATGGACTGGAAGTGGAGCAACCGGGACAGAATCCAGCGCCTTGACCGGGACTAGAACCTGGGGTGCCGGCGCCTCAGGCGGAGGATTAGCTTAGTGAGCTGTGGTGCCTGCAGCTTCTTGGTCTTACACTCAGATTATTCTCTCTAGAAAACCTGCTGTTTCTAAAGTGGGTCTTGTCATAGATTAATTTTGCTTTTCCCACAGCACATCATTTGTACATCGAGTGCTTAATAAAGACTTTTTTTTTTTAAGGTTTATTTACTTATTTGAAAGGCAGAGTTACAGAAGGAAAGGGAGAGAGAGAGCAAGAGGTCTTCCACCCACTGGTTCACTCCCCAGATGGCTGCAACAGCCAGAGCTGTGCCAATCTGAAGCCAGGAGCCAGGAGCTTCTTCCAGGTCTCCCATGCTGGTTCAGGGGCCCAAGCACTTGGGCCATCTTCTACTGCTTTCCCATGCCGTTAGTAGGGAGCTGGATGAAAAGTGGGGCAGCCAGGACTTGAATGGGCACCTATCTGGGATGCCAGTGCCACAGGAAATGGCTTTACCTGCTGTGCAGCAGTGCTGGCCTCAAAGACTGTCTTTAAAGTAGAGAGAGCATAGAGGTAGATGCCAGAGTTTCAGGACGTTTAAAATGCATGTACAGTTTGTTCCAGTGATTCTACTTCTAAGAATTTGTTTTTGCCCTAATATATCCATAGGGTATGCAAATAGTTATATATAGGGATGTTTTGATGTATTGTTTCTGGAAGTTCTAAGTGTCCAGGATGAGTCAGATAGATGTATGGTGCTGCCATTCAATTGAAATACTATGGAGCTCCATCTTAACACCAGGCTTGGACTCTAACTTGTGGGCTGTAGACAGCCACTTCACTGACTTTTCATCATAAAAAGGCTGGCTAGGAAGAAGGGAATTTCATCAGTTTCAGATGACTACTGAGAGCAAAATTACTGAGCTCTCTGCTGTGGCCTGGGAAAAGCAGTGGAATATGGCCCAAGTGCTTGGGACTCTGCAACCACATGGGAGACCCACAAGAGACTCCTGGCTCCTGGCTTTGGATCAACCCAGCTCCAGCTGTTGCAGCCATCTGGGGAGTGGACCAGCAGATGAAGATCTTTCTCTCTGTCTTTCCCTCTCATTGTCTGTAACTCTGCCTCACAAATAAATAAATAAAATCCTTAAAAAAAAAAAAGAAATACTATGTATCTACCAAAAAGAAGGATCTTTGATACAGAAAGATGTATAAGACTTAGATGATACTGTTTCAGTTTTTAAAAGTGAAGGCAGATCATATTCTTACATTATGCATAGGTGTCTAGAAACTATTAGTAGGGGGCTGGCACTGTGGCGCAGCAGGTTAATGCCCTGGCCTGAAGCACTGGCATCCCACATGGGCGACGGTTCGAGATCCGGCTACTCCACTTCAAATCCAGCCGTCTGCTATGGCCTAGGAAAGCAGTGGAAGATGGCCCAAGATCTTGGGCCCCTGTAGTCGCGTGGGAGACCCGGAGGAAGCTCCTGGCTCCTGGCTCTGGATCCGTGTAGATCTGGCCATTGCAGCCAACTGGGGAGTGAACCATCAGATGGAAGACCTCTCTGTCTCTTCTGCCTCTCCTCTCTCTGTGTAACTCTTTCAAATAAATAAATCAGTCTTTTTTAAAAAAAAAGTATTAGTAGTGGTTCTCTGAATGCTGGGGTTGTTTACCTTTTACTGAATATCTTTCTGTTTGGTATGATTACTTTTCTTAAAGATTTATTTACTTGAAAGGCAGAGCTAGAGAGAGAGAGGTCTTCATCCAGTGATTCATTCCTAAAATGGCCACAACAGCCAGGTCTGTGCCAGGCCAAAGCCAAGGAGCTTCATCTGAGTCTTCTACCTGGGCGGCAAGGGCACAAACACTTGGGCCATCTTCCACTGCTTGAGTTACAGAGAGGCAGAGAGAGAGTGATCCTCCATCCACTGGTTCACTCTCCAAATGACCAAAATGGCTGGGCTGATCTGAAGCCAGGAGCCAGGAGCTTCCTCCAGATCTCCCACATGGGTTCAGGTGCCCAAGGACTTGGGCTATCTTTTACTGCTTTCCCAGACCTTTGCAGAGACCTGTATCAGAAGTGGAGCAGCTGGGACTAGATCTGGCACCCATATGGGATGCTGGCACTGCGGGCAGCAGCTTTACCCATTACGCCACAGCACCGGCCTCTCTTAAGGAATTGGGAGATCCTGTCTTACAGGTAGAATTTGAAGTGAGCCTTCAGTGTTTCTTGGCTAGTGTTGGATCTGTTCTGGTAATGATCAAAAAGTTGTATATTAGATGTCACTACTTCTTACCAGTCTATTTTTGATTGTTTGCTTTTTTTGGAAAGTAAAAGTAGCAAGGTTTATTAGGGAAGGGACGTCCGTAAGGACGGAAGGGCACCTCTCCAGACAGAGCCTGAGAGAGTGCCAAGTCGCTCGGACTAGGGGGCGGGGAGCGAGGTTACATGGTTGAGTAGAGAGATTACACCTGACCAGGTCAGGCGGGTGGCTCAGCAAAGAGGCAGAGGGCTGAGCGTGCAGTCCGGTTGAGTCTGGGGGTTTTTAAGGAGATGGGTCTTTGTCTTCACACATCTCCTCCTGAAACAAAGGATTTTATGGATGTAAATATTAAGAAGCTCCTATCTGAGTTTTCCCCTGAAGGTATCAGACAGGAGGAAGCCTAGCTGGCGCCTTTCTCAGTTTAGAGGAAGGGTGAGCAAGACCCCCTAGAGAATCGGGATCCGGAGCAGGGTGTTTGAAATGCAGATACTGGGCTGCATCTGGGAGATTGTGGAGGATTTGTCAGGCAGAAGAAGCGGGGACCCCACCATCTAGCAGGTTATCAGGTAGAAGGGGGCAGGGCAGGATACGAATACTGGGCTGCCCCTGAAACATTATCGGGATGACCTTGAGATGCAGATGCATATGCTGAACATAGACTTTTTCTCTTTAGGCCTGTCACACACACACAAGCTCATATCTAACTTCCTACCTAACATTCCCCCCTCAAGAGGCAAATACCCAAAATTCTTCTTTGGGATTACGGGTGGAGTTCCGTTTTCTGTAACTTCTTCAAAGCTGCATGTGGGCATCGAGGAGGATTTGGGTATTTCCTCTTGCTGTCTGTCTTATGGTGTGCAACAGTGGCCTAGGAAAGATTGTCCTGCTCGGTCCAGAGGGCTGCTCAGGTTGTCCAATGGAATGGGCTGGAAGCCTTGTCTGATGACCATTTGGAGTTTGACAGTTTTTATTCTCCAATGTCTTCTTAAAATCCCTTCGTGGTTGCCAAAATGTTACCAGAGAATGGCAGGGTTCTTGTCTTCACGCAGAAAGAATTCAGGCGTGAGACAGAGTAGTGGAAAGTAAAAGTTACAAGGTTTATTAGGGAATGGACATCCTCAGGGACAGCCTGAGAGAGTGCCCAGTCGCTTGGACTGGGGGTGGAGGGGGGAGCAAGGTTACATGGTTGAGTAGAGAGATTACACCTGACCAGGTCAGGTCAGGTGGGCGGCTCAGCAGAGAGGCAGAGGGCTGAGCGCCATTTTTGTCTGTTTTTAAGAAAAGTTTGTTGGTTTGATTGTATCATGAGGCATTGAAGCATCTGAACATATCAGTACCTCGACAGTGAGGCAGCTGCTTTCTCCTTTACTTCTTTGGGTTACTAGAGCAACTTGTCAGTAGATTTTTAAGAGAGACAACCTTTGGCATTATTTAGGTCTTCCTAAGGCATGTGCTGGTACAACACACACTTCCCCTCTCAGATGCAACTAGTCTCGAGTCCAAATATCACGTGAGCACTGTAGTGGCAGCAGCGTACTGCGCCCTGCTCCTTTGTGTCTGGTACTTGGAGAATCTGGAAGAGTATGAATAGTATCAGGAAGCAGAGGGAGGAGGAAACAGTGATGAGTGCCTGGCTGGGAGAAGGTCCAGCCGAGGCTGTGCAGGGCAAGCCTGCACTCGCCATTGGTGCAGACCCTAGCGTCATTGATGTTCTCGAATAGCAGCGTCTGGTGGAACCTCATGACAGGGTCCTCGTCAGCTTTGCGCTGGCCTGCCCCATGCCGGTGGTGCAGCTAGCTGTCTGCTGTGGGCTGAGGGTCCTGTGCCGTGACACTGTGCTGGGTTTTCTGGAAGGGAAGGCTAGACACTTCTTCACAGTGGCAGCTTTGCCTTGGGACTGCTGTCCCTCCCCTGGAAGGCATGACACATCAACGTAGATCGTGCTGGGTGGGTTCTGTCATCAAATAACTGGTAGTGATGTTGAATGAAGCTGAATCCAGTCTGCTCCAAAACTGGCTTGTCTCCCATTCTGGAGCATCACCCAGCCTCCTTGAAACCCAAGGGGCTGGCACCCAATCTGGTTTAAAAGGAGGAGTTGAAATGTTGGATAAGTGATTTACCAGACAGTAATATGTATTTTTTATGATTTTTCTAGCCTTTCCTCCAGATGGTTGATTTTACATATTCAAGAGAACAGCCTTGGGGGCAGCATTGTGGCTCCAGTGAGTTCAGCCACCAGCATCCCGTATCAGAGCACTAGTTTGAGTCCCCACTGCTCCACTTCCAATCTAGCCCCCTGCTGATGGCTGGGAAAGCAGAAGACAGCCCAAGTACTTGTGTGCCTGCCACCCACATGGGAGGCCTGGATGGGTCCCTGCCCATGGGAGGCAGAGGGGCAGAGAGCACTCCATTTGCTGTGTCACTCCTGAAACCTACAGTGTGGGGGCTGGACTAGGGCTGAGGCTAAAGCCAAAGCCAAGAGCAAATAACTCAATCCGGGTCTCCTTGTGAACCCAATTACTTGAGCTGTCAATGCCACTGAGCAGCATCTGCTTCAGCAGGAAGTTGGAATCGGGAGTTGGAGCCAGGAAACAAACCCAGGTGCTCCAGTTTGGGACTAACCACGAGGCTAGATGCCTGCTCCTGGCCTAGCTTTGGAGAGTGGCCGTCCTGATAGTACCCTCATAGAATATACAGTCATCTACCCATAAGGTTGTACTGGGACCCAGAATTGCCATTGCTGGGGTCTCACAACTGTTAATGGCAAAGACCAGTTCTAAAACTCAGCTTCCTGACTTGATCCCGTGACTGCCAGTTCCCTGCTTTTTGTATTGCTTTCCATTTGAGCATTGCCAGGAGGAAGGGCTGGATGGAGAGCTGTAGTACCACAGCTCCATCTTGAAATGGTGGTGCAGGGAGGATTGCTCTGCTTTCTCCCTCCATCCCCTGAACACTGTTTGATTATCAGAAAGAATTCTTTGTCCTTGACACACGTGCTGGTCAGTGCAAGGGTTTAAGTAAATACAGTGGCTCTACACTATAGAAAAGTGGCTGTTAGGGACTGATTTAAAGGCTCATTTAAAAAAAAAAAAAAAGATTTATTGATTGAAAGAGTTAGAGAGAGAAAGACTTCCATCCACTGAGGGCCAGATGGCCGCAACAGCAAGGGCTGGGCCAGGAGCTTCTTCCAGGTCTCCCACATTTGGCAGACGCCCAAGCACTTGACCATCTTCCAGTGCTTTTCCTAGGCACATTAGCAGGGAGCTGGATCAGAAGTGGAGGGGCTGGGACCTGAACCGGTGCCTGTGTGGGGAGCCAGCATCACTGGTGGTGGCTCTACTAGCTGTGCTACAATGCCGGCCCCTGAAGGCTCATATTTTATAAAGTAACTAAAATTGTCTAGGCTTTTATAATAACCTGTCAGATAACTGTGTTCTGTAGTTACCAATTTGAAACAGTGATATGTAGAAGAAAATGTTTTCCTTAAAATATTGTTGAAGGAAATTTCTGCCTGTTTTTTTAATTTCTTGATTTTGCTGCTGTAGTTTGTTAGATAGTGTAGACATCGTTTAACCAAATTAAAAATATTTTCTAATTTTGAATAATGCACTCTGTTTTCTTCTAGTCTAATGGATGGGATCCCAATGATATGTTTCGATATAATGAGGAAAATTATGGTGTGGTGTCTACATATGATAGCAGTTTATCTTCATATACGTAAGTTTAAAAACACTGGTTTTATTTTTGTGCATTTGTCTTTGACTTTTATTAAATGATGTTGGATGAATGTTTCTTTGAGATTTTAAGTTACAGTTGTGTGGATTATTCTCTGTAGTAGGCTGACAAATATCTCTTAAAACAGAATAAATACAGTTTCCCTATGCTCTGTTATTATACACTAAATACATTTTGGGTTTTTAAATTATAAAAAGTCTAATTTGTTAGTATAGTGGTTGTAATGAAAGTCTTTTCAACCATATTTTGAAATGTTCTGTTCTTCCAGGGAAATGATAATTTTAAAAAATCCAAATTTTGATTTATAAGTAAACAAATCTCTGTTACTCTTATAGTTTTGCCATTATTGCAAATTTTAAACTTTCTTCATAGTTGTTTGCAGCAGATACATAGCCTATGACTTTAAAATACTCTGCTTTTCTTTTCCTCCCATTTCAGGGTGCCCTTAGAAAGGGATAACTCAGAAGAATTTTTAAAACGGGAAGCAAGGGCGAACCAGTTAGCAGAGGAAATTGAATCAAGTGCTCAGTACAAAGCTCGAGTGGCCCTGGAAAATGATGATAGGAGCGAGGAGGAGAAATACACAGCAGTTCAGAGAGACACCACTGAACGTGAGGGGCACGGCACAAACACTAGGTATTTAAAGGAAATCATGATGCGGTGTTTTGGATACACAACTCAAGGTCTGTGTAAGGTGTATTATCGTCTTCTCTTCCTTTAATGCAGCTTAGGTAGCGAATGCAAATGGAATTGGTTTAAGATTGGTTTAGAGAAAAGATGATGGTAATCTTGGAACATATGCTTTTAGAATTAGCTCTGTGAAGTCAACTGTTAGATGTACACTAAGGAACAAGCCAAGATCTGAAAGAGCTTGTTAAAGAATAGCACTGGCAAGCAGAGGGGAGGGCACAGAGCGTAACAGTGCAGTGTGGTTTGTTAGAGTTCGTGTGTTCAGACGGCAGGAACATACAGAGTGAGGATGAACTAGCTTGGCCTGTGTAGTTGGGAAGATCTCCTGGAAGAGGTAGCATTTTGTGATAGGAAGAGAGGGCCACTCAGAGAGCAGGGAAGACGTGCAGAAGCACGACCTTGTGGGAGAACCTGGTCAGCTCAGGAGAAGACTCAGCTGCTTGCTGCATGTGAAACCCGGGGTCTGTGTTGGGAGAGCATAGTGGCAGTGGTGGGAGGAGCCGAGGCAGTGGCAGGACATGGTGTGTCATTCAAAAGTATGGGCTTGGGACGAGTAAACTTGGGCCCGGCTGACTGAGACAGAGACCAGTTAGCACACTGAAGTAGTTGAGCCGTGCTAACTTGGTAAGCAGCTAGACCACGGCTGGTGCTGGGTAAGTAGAAGCCGTCAGGACCTGGGAGTTCGGTTGATAACTTAGTGAGTTGATGGCTGTACTGACAATGGAGATAGCAAATAGGGAGCAAGTTTGAAGGGGAGAAATGATGATTCCGTGTGTGCATCTGAAGAGCTGTGGATCTTTCATTTCTCACTAACCATGAGTTGAATGCTTTGTGCTTCATACCCGGTAGAGTAGGAGATACATGGTATCTTCGGGGCACACAAAACCCAGAGTTCAGTGGTTTGAATCCGTGTGTCCAGTGGAGATGGGGACTGGCAGTGCAGATTGGGGATTCATCAGTATTCAGCATTGGTAATATAGATGCCATGAAAAGTCAAAGAGCAACAGAGAGAGAAGGGAGAGGTGTTAGGAAAAATAAGGTTGAAGACAGACTGTGATTGATGGAGAAGTCAGGCAGAAGGAGAATGAACACTTGCAATTAGGCTTTGTGCTAGGAGGAGAAGGCCAGCGGCCAGAACCGAGGGTCAGAGGGAAGAAAGGAGAGGTGAGGCAGTTTGCGTCAGTGTTGATCTTTTCCATGACAACCATTCTTTCTGCCTAAATTACCTTTAGATATGTTTCATTGGCCTGGTACTTTTTAGGATAAAATGATTTAGAAGATGTCTCATTTTCAGGGAAAATAAATATATTCCTCCTGGACAAAGAAATAGAGAAGTCATATCCTGGGGAAGTGGGAGACAGAGTTCACCGCGTGCGGGCCAGCCTGGATCAGGCTCCATGCCATCAAGACCCACTTCTCACACTTCAGATTTCAACTCGAATTCTGGTTCAGACCAAAGAGTAGTTAATGGAGGCAAGTATTTTGACCATATTTGTCAATGTCATTGGTCACATACATACATAGTTTTCTAATTACTTAAAACAGTTTATATCACTGATAAGACAGTGTACACTCTTAATGATTTTTATGGGGTAGTTTTTATTTCAAAATTACTTGAAATATGCTTTTGTGGATATCAGACTAGTAAAACATAGTATGAATCATTTGTAGATTCAGTATTTAGTGTGAGGAAGTCTCATGTACTGAAAGAGTGCTAATTTTACACTTGATCTTAGCCAAAAGGCCGAGAAGCGATGAAAGAGTGCTAATTTTAGCCCAAATATCATTGCTTGGCCAAAAAAGACTCCACATATAAATTGGATACATTGCGTAGGTTCTTGATTTTTAAGACACTGATGAACAATAAAATTACATAGGTGCATTTTATATGGAAAATTATAATCTACGTGAAACATTCAATGGTTAATATGGATTCATTTTCCTTATTTATGTTGTGCTTACTGTAAGAGAGGATTTGAGGTACTTTGTAATACGAGGCATGACCCAGAATCAGGTGAAGAAGGTGATGAGAGAAAATGTGCTTAACACAACAGAAACAACTCTCAGTGTGAGGGTGGTTGTTGTAGGTCAGCGACAATAAGTCAGAGAAGTGGGAGACATTTTCTACTCTGCCTCTAAGTCTGGGTTACAGATTATATATATATTATAATTATTGTAACCTATATCATTGCACTGTGGATCTTTGATGCACAGAGGGATGCTGAACCGCAGCACTGAGGATAGTGTGGTGATCAGTGAGAGCTCGAGTGTCTTAACCTAGGAAGGCTGGGCACTTGCTGCAGCATCTCAGTTTAGAACTGTAGAGAGAAACAGAGCACTAGGTCTCCAGTTTCACTTGTTTTCTTTGTATCTTTTCTCCAGAACTCCTCTCCAAATGAACACTCTTGAGTATTTTTTGTACTTAGTTTTGGGGCTGAAATTTATTTGCTTACTGATAAAGATTTTTTAGGTGTTTATAAACAGAATTTTCAGAGTAAAAAACCTGAGGGGGCTGGGAAATTTATGATACTCAAGTGTGTGGAACTCTGTGGAGAGGAGGCCTGGACCCTCGGCTGTGGTGAAGGTAAGTGACGTGACTGTTGGCATGGTAACTGTGTGTGGGCCTGTGCAAGTCCCCCAGTGCCAGTTCACTCAGCAGCGACTGCTTTGTATTTTGGTTGTGTGTTAAGCAGTCTCTCAGAGAAATGTTCACTGCATAAGTGATGACTTTGAAGGTCTCCCCTTTTCTAGTCTGAGATTAAAGTAATTTTTTCAAAGAGCAGTGAATATAGGTCTTTGTTAATCCTGTGACTCTAGAAAATAGTAGAAGTAATGCTTTTATCTCTACTTAAATGGAAGCTGCTTAGAGAGATTTCAGACAACCTTAGATTCAAGGGTAAACCCAGTGAGAGTCATATGTAATTGTAAGGAGCTGTGTTTTCAATTTGATACAGTAGATGCTGCTTATTTTCACTGCTTCAGAGCTAAAACTAATCTAGTAAATACTCTTATTTCTGAGTAGGAATTACTGTGTTTCGTTGTGTGAAATTATCTAGTGTATGTTATATCCTTTTCATAGTTAATTACTGAGACTCAGTTACAGAAGCAGGATAATAGGCACAGTCTTACCTGTCTTCAATAGTATGTGTAGATCCTGATTAACCCTTTGGGAACGTGTATTCATTTAAACAGATTTAATTCTAAGGAGGTTAAAGTAAAATGTGAATTGATGTCGGTTAAGTTATGCTAAAACTTAGCACAATTCAAATGACTGTCCTCAAAGGGTTAAAATGTACAAGAAATCATTTTTGTCATTTTACTTTTTTTTCTGTTTACTTTTTTCCCTCATTTTTTTCTTTAGTTTTTATACTTTCCTTCATATCATTTGTTCTGTCAGGTGTTCCCTGGCCATCGCCTTGCCCATCTCCTTCCTCTCGCCCACCTTCTCGCTACCAGTCAGGTCCCAACTCTCTTCCACCTCGGGCAGCCACCCCTACACGGCCGCCCTCCAGGCCCCCCTCGCGGCCATCCAGACCCCCGTCTCACCCCTCTGCTCATGGTTCTCCAGCTCCTGTCTCTACTATGCCTAAACGCATGTCTTCAGAAGGTACAATACCACAATTTGTTCATGTTTTTGTTTGTCTTTGTTTAACTCCTATGTGAGTTTATAATTACAGAAGTTTCCTCTTTCATTATTTAATAACCTATAATTTCCGTGTTTTAACTTTAGTTTATTAAAACTATTTCTATTAACCTTTTGTTCATTAGAGAGAAATTTGATAAATGCTGTGTGAAGCTATGAATTATGCTGAATTGTGAGAAAGGGGCTTTCTCTTTCTACCTGCGAAAGATGTTCCCTCACAGCCCCAGAGAGCGCTGCCCAGGGCCTTCTGCCTCCTGGCTTTCCTTGGGTGTAGTGGGTAACGGTAAAGAATGAACTTTGTTCACATAGGCCTGGCTGATTGTACAGCCTCTCATGTAACAGCCTTTTGGCCAGAATACTGGGGGATATTCCTGTGGGTCTGAAGCAGGAGTCAGTTTTGGGGGTGACATTCCATGTACCTGCCTCTTTGTATGTCTACCCTTAGATTATAATACAGTTTGTTTTTTAGGATGCTTGAAAGGTATTCTAAATTTAATTGAGTAATTTTTCAAAAGAAAAAGCTTTGTAATAATATTATGAGTGAAAGGCTGCTTTAATCTGGTAGAAGTTCTTGATCTAACATAAAATTATTGATTAAAAATATGAATTTGAATACTGAAGTATGTTTTTGACCCTTGTCAAAATCTGCCTTTGCTACGTGTTATAGAAAGATAACATTTTAATGTAAAAGCAGTGCATAAATTAAGAATCTGTGTGTTTTGAATGATAATGTTCTTTCGATATGAGTTGACAGTATTTGTGTTAAAAATCTGACTTTAACTTATTCCTTAAAATCATAATTAATACAGCTTATGTTGGGACTAATAAAGTTTCCTATATAACCTGCTTCCCTGGAAATATATATGTTGGCTGCTTTTGAATAAATGACTGCCATCCAGGCAGGCAGGGAAGTCATGTGACCTTGACTGAAGTTTCTAACTGTGAACAGCAAGATTTGCTGAGTTTTCGTGGTGAATTCCATACTCAAAAGGTCATGGAATAATGGTCACTAAATGCAAAGTCAGATTCTCTTGAGGTTCATACTGCAGCTTGTCATTTGAACAAGTGAGACTTGTATTGTGAGAACAGGTTGGATAAAACGTGCTTGTTAATGAGTGTGGACAATTTGTTTACACTGAGATATGAGGACTGTGTTGAACTGAGTATTCATACAGAAGTAATACTTTCTGCATTATTCATAAATGCTGAATGTCTATTGTTGAAAATTATCATTTGTAACATTAACACCCTTTTAGATTCTGCCTGGAATTAAATTCTTTCTGGAACACTCATAGATTTGATGGTCTGATGAGTTCGGCAGCAGGTATTGAGGAGCCACGGCGTGATGTTAAGAAAGCTTTGGCTGGTGTTAGCACCTGAGAGTGGGCCAGACGTGGCTTCACATGACAGTCTGGTCTGCTCTGTAACAGGCTGCCTTAAGAGAAGGCTCCAGTAGGGTAGCAGGATCACTGATGGGGAATTTCGACAATTCATAATCTGCAAATTTCTTCCCCAAATGTCAGTTACTCTGGTTTTACAGATCGTGTATTATCAGTCGGATTTTCAGCGCACAGATTAAGTGAAAGAGACTGCTTAATAGATGAGGACTGTTTTAAGCCATGAGTTGTAAGATTGACCATGGCAGATGAAGATAGCTTATAGATTGCTAAAGTTCTTTTAAGAGTTATGACATCTTATTGTTTGATTTCTTATCACCAACTTCACCTTTCCCTTTCTTTAAAATCAAAGGGAAATAAAATTCATTTATAAAATTTGTGGCATTCCACAAAATATTTCTCAAAGTATGTATTTTTTTCCTTTTTGACTAAGGTGAAACTGTAGAGTGAGCGAGCGAGACAGCGTATGCTTATGTATTCAGCAGAAAGGGCGTACTGGCAGCATTTTGTGGTAATGTTCACCGTTCCTTTCTTAGGACCTCCCCGGATGTCCCCAAAGGCCCAGCGACACCCTCGAAATCACAGAGTTTCTGCCGGGAGGGGTCCCATATCCAGTGGCCTAGAATTTGTATCCCACAATCCCCCAAGTGAAGCAGCTGCCCCTCCTGTGGCCAGGACCAGCCCGGCAGCAGGAACATGGTCATCAGTGGTCAGCGGGGGTAGGTGACACTGTGCTTGAGACATGGTAACATTGTTTATTTCATAATCATGCTGGATGTAAAAAGGGCTGAGCTGACGCTCCTTGTGAGGAAGTGTATATGTTAGAACTTCTGGAATAACCAGCAATTAGGAAACATTTTTACTTTGTGTTCTACCACTTACTCATCATACGTCAGTGCAAGACGTGCAGTCATTCCATATTTCAGTTTTCTCAATAGTGGTCTTTATAATTTTTTTTTTTAAATTATAATTTATTTTAAAGGTCAAGAGGGAGATCTCCCAGCTATCTAGTGATCCTCTTTCCAAATGCCTGCAGCAGTAGGGGCTGGGCCAGGTCAAAGATAAGAGTATGGAATGCAGTCTGTGTTTTTCACGTGGACGGCAAGCAGCCACACACTTGACCCATTGACCTGCTGCCTCCCAGGGTGCACAATAGCAGGGACTGGTACTGGGAGCAGACCTAGAACTTGAACCTAGGCACTTCGAGGAGGGGTGTGGATCTCCCTGGTGGCATCTTAACCACCATGCCAAAGGCCCTCCTCACGAGTAAAGTAATTCTTGTCCATTCTGCTTTAGGGGCTTGTGATAAGATTACTGTGAGGGAGGCCTGGCACTGTTAGCACAGCAGGTAAAGTTGCCACCTGCAGTGCTGGCGTTCCATATGGGCACTGGTTTGAGTCCCAGCTGCTCCATTTCTGATCCAGCTCTCTGTCATGGCCTGGGAAAGCAGCAGAAGATGGCCCAGGTCCTTGGGCCCCTACACCCACGTGAGAGACCTGGAAGAAGCTCCTGGCTCCTGGCTTTGAATTGGCCCAGCTCTGGCTGTTGCTGTCTTCTGGGGAGTGAACCAATGGATGAAAGATCTTTCCCTCTCTCTCTCTCTCTGCTTTTGCCTCTATAACTCTGGCTTTCAAATAAATAAGTAAATCTTAAAAAAAAAAAAAAAAAAAAGTAAATACAAATACGTTTGTAGTATCAAGTACTGCTCTAAGGCAAATAGTCTATAACACTATTGAGAGAGAGCATATTTCCTATTTTTTTAAGATTTATTTATTTATTTGGAAGTCAGAGAGAGGGAGAGAGGGGTTTCTTCCCATCTGCTGGTTCATTCCCCAAATGGCCACAATAGCCAAGAATGTGCCAGGCTGAAGCCGAGAGCCAGGAATTTCATCTGGGTTTCTCACATGAGTGCAGGGGCCCAAGTACTTGGACCATCTTCCACTGCTTTCCCAGGCACATTAGCAGGGAGCTGGATTGGAAGTAGAGCAGCCAGGACTTGAACTGGTGCCCATATGGAATGCCAACGAGGCAAGTGGCAATTTTACTCACTATACCACAATGCCAGCCCCTGTATTTCTTATCTTTTCCAAAAAATATTATTAATTTTGCTTATTTGAAAGGCAGAGTGGCACACAGAGAGACCTTCTGTTCACTGGTCTACTGTCCAAATGCCCACAACAGCTGGGGTTGGAAGCCCGAAACTCCCTCTGGGTCTCCCATGTTGGCGGCAGGGACCAGATCTGAGTTTCTGAGCCATCATTGCTTCCTCCCTGAGTGTGCAGTAGCAGGAAGCTGGCCGGAGCAGAGGTGGGACTCAGACCCAGACACTGTGATAAGGGACGTGGCCATCCCAAGGGGTGTCTTAATCGTTGAGCCGAACGCCCACCCCATTGTTTCCTGACTTTTTAGGATCTTTGTTTATAGGGTCATTCCAAAAGCTTTTATTTTGGGCTTCGTGGTGCAGTGTTTTGCACAGCATATGTGTGTAGCACTAGCATCCAACCACAGTTCCCTTGTGAGGGATATCAGGCACACACAAGGGACCCATTTGTGTCTGTTGTTAGCCCAGGGAGGATGCTGACAGCATCTGTAGGGTACAGGCATTGTACTTGGGGGCCAGTGTCGTGTACAGCTGCTGCCTGTGATGCCAGCATCCCACGTGGATGCCGGTTTGTGTTGCAGCGGCAACACTTCTGACCGAGGTCCCGGCCACTCACGTGAAAGATCCAAGTGAAGCTCCTGGCTCCTGGCTTCAGCCTGGCCCAGCCCTGGCTGTTGCAGCCATTTGGGGAGTGAACCAGCAGATGGAAGATCTTTTTTTTTTTTTTTTTTTTTGACAGGCAGAGTGGATAGCGAGAGAGAGAGACAGAGAGAAAGGTCTTCCTTTGCCGTTGGTTCACCCTCCAATGGCCGCCGCTGCAGCCGGCGCACCGCGCTGATCCGATGGCAGGAGCCAGGATCCAGGTGCTTTTCCTGGTCTCCCATGGGGTGCAGGGCCCAAGCACCTGGGCCATCCTCCACTGCACTCCCTGGCCACAGCAGAGGGCTGGACTGGAAGAGGGGCAACCGGGACAGAATCCGGCGCCCCAACCGGGACTAGAACCCGGTGTGCCGGCGCCGCTAGGTGGAGGATTAGCCTAGTGAGCCGCGGCGCCGGCCTAGATGGAGATTCTTGTTCTTCCCCTCTCCGCCCCTAATACCCACGTTACCTCAGTTGGGCGTATCTCAGTTTCTGTCTCTTTTCTTTCTTTTTTTAACAGGCCAGAGTGGACAGTGAGAGAGAGAGACAGAGAGAAAGGTCTTCCTTTTGCCGTTGGTTCACCCTCCAATGGCCGCCACGGCAGGCGCGCTGCGGCCGGCGCACCGCGCTGATCCGAAGGCAGGAGCCAGGTGCTTCTCCTGGTCTCTCATGGGGTGCAGGGCCCAAGCACTTGGGCCATCCTCCACTGCACTCCCTGGCCACAGCAGAGAGCTGGCCTGGAAGAGGGGCAACTGGGACAGAATCCGGCGCCCCGACCGGGACTAGAACCCGGTGTGCCGGCACCACTAGGTGGAGGATTAGCTTATTGAGCCATGGCGCCGGCATAACTACCTTTCAAATAAATACATAAATCCTTTTTTTAAAAAAAAAGTTTTATTTATTTGAAAGGCAGAGTTACAAAGGCAGAGGCAGGGAGAGATCTTTAATCTGCTGGTTCACTTCCCAAATGGCCCCAATTGCCGAAGCTGTGCCAATCCAAAGCCAGGAGCAGCTCAGAGCTTCTTCGGGGTCTCCCACGTGGGTGCAGGGGCCCAAGGACTTGGGCCATCTTCTGCTTTCCCAGGCCATAGCAGAGAGCTGGATTATAAGTGGAACAATCGGGACTCAAACCAGTGCCCATATGGGATGCCGGCACTGAAGGCAGCAGCTTTACCCGCTATACCCCAAAAATTAACAAATCTTAAAAAAAAAAATACTTTGACAAAATTCAACAGTTATACCAAAACAGCTTTTGATTCTTTTTCAGTAAATCTTAATGCTTGTTTTCATGACAGCTGTGGAGAGCTAGAGCATATAATGATTTGTTTTTTTCCCTTGATCTTCATCTTAATCAGTCCATAGAACCTTTAAGAAAAAAGAAATTCTTTGTGCTTAAATTAAAAAAAAAAAAAAATCCAAGCTCTATTAAATGTCTGTTATTAGTTGATTACTCTGTCTGCTCAGCTTCATGTAGTGTGTATTTGTGTAATTATACCATAAATTCCCTTGTACTTCCTGTTTTCTTCCTGGATGTTCAATTATATTAAGAAAACGGAGTTTTTTTAAAAAGCCTCCTCTGTTGTAGTAATCCTTTGATATATCTCAACAACAATATCAGTAAATTTTGAGAGTAACAAAATAATCAGAAACAGGAGAGTAAAAATATGGTTATTAGAGAAACACACAAAACAGGGTGACAGATTTGTTCCTTGTAGTAATTGGAAGATGGCAGTCATTGAGTAATACAAGTATACTTTACAAAGTTCATGGAAAATTAAAAAATAAGTGTTTTTTGGTACCAAAAAAAATTTTAATGCAGGTATAGGAGGGATCTTCAACAATCTCACCTTTTAGTTCTGTTTTTCAGTTAACTTTTTGAAATACCTCTGTGGTTTCCTCCATGACTCTTGACTTAAGAACAGAGCAGATATTTATTTGAAAGGAAGTGGGACGGAAGGCAAGAGACAGGAATCTTGTATGCATTGGTTCACTCCCCAGATTCCTGCAGAGCCAGGTCTGGGCCAGGTTGAGACCAAGAACCAGGAACTCAACTCAGGTCTCCTGCATGGTTGGCAGGGACCCGAGTACTTGAGCCATTACCTGCTACCTCCCAGAAAATGGATTTGCAGGAAGCCAGAATGAGGCAGGACATGAATCAAGGCATTCTAGCAGGAATGTTTGTCTCCCCAAGTGGCATCTTAAGCACTACAGTAGATACCCACCCCGAATGTTGCTGCTGTTATCCTAAAAAGTGACATTTATCCTGCCTCAGGAATCCAGTTTCCAAAATCATTTCCTATATTCTCTTTCAAAATGAACACATTTAACCTGGAAGGAAGACCACAGTTGATGTTGGGAAGTAGCAGTTGTGTCATTCTGTGGATACTGGTGTTCTCAGTTACCACCCCTGTTCCTAAGAATTTGGGGGGGAAAACACAGTGACAGAATAAAACGTGTGGGCATGAGAGGACTATTTTACCTGGATCTTCAGAGAAATCTCAGGAATTGACATTTGAGCTCAGAATGTAATGAATAACTTTTCCCTTTCTTCCAGTTCCCAGAATGTCCCCTAAAACTCACAGACCACGGTCTCCCAGACAGAACAGCATCGGAAATAGTCCCAGTGGGCCAGTTCTTGCTTCTCCCCAGGCTGGTATCATTCCGACTGAAGCTATTGCCATGACTGTTCCAGGTGCTGCGTCTCCTGCACCTGCTAGTCCTGCAGCCAACAGAGCTGTGACCCCATCTGTCGAGGGTATGTAAGAAAGGGCTTTCAGTTGTATGATACTGTTTGTGTGGTTGCATGTTAGAAGTCACCACTAAATGAACAGTTGTGTGTTGTTTTACTCATAAATAAGTGGGTTTTTTTAAAGATTTATTTTTTTATTTAAAAGGCAGAGAGGCCGAGAGAGAGAGAGGTCTTCCATCCGCTGGTTGAAATGGCTGCAGTGGTCGGAGCTGCACTGAGCAGAAGTCAGGAGCTGGGAGCTGGGAGCTTCTTCTGGGTCTCCCATGCAGGTGCAGGGCCCTAAGGACTTGGGCCATCCTCTGCTGCTTTTCCCAGGCCACAGCAGAGAGCTGGATTGGAAGTAGAATAGCTGGGACTCAAACTGACGTCCATATGGGATGTCAGCACTGTAGGTGGCAGCTTTACTTGCTGTGCCACAATGCTGGCCCCCCATAGATAAGTATTTTAAATGCACATTTAAAATCCCAGGTAAATGATGATACAATACCCCTAACTTCATATATGTCTTCAATGTCTGTTGTTAACATTCCTAGATATTAAATTCAAAAAACTCATGGAAGAATATAATGTAAAAATAATGTTGGGGCCCCAGAGTCCCAGAGTCCAAGCCTGTTCCCAACCCAGTCCTGTCCCACAGTCGCCTGGTTCCTCTGCTTCCAACATGACAGATGCCGCTGTGTCCTTTGCCAAGGACTTCCTGGCAGGTGGAGTGGCTGTGACCCTTGAGAGGGTCAAGCTGCTGCTCCAGGTGCCGCATGCCAGCAAGCAAATCACTGCTGATAAGCAATACAACGGCATTCTAGACGGTGGGGTTCATATCCCAGGGAGCAGGGTGTTCTGTCCTTCTGGCGTGGTAACCTGGCCAGAGTCATCAGATACTTCCCCACCCAGGCTCTCAGCTTTGCCTTCAAAGATAAATACAAGCAGATTTTTCTGGGTGGCGTGGACAAGAGGACCCAGTTTTGGCGCTACTTTGCAGGGAATCTGGCATCAGGTGGTGCTGCTGGAGCCACATCCTTGTGTTTCCTGTATGCGCTTGATTTTGCCTGTACCCGTCTAACGCTGGAGCTGAAAGGGAATTCAAAGGCCTCAGAGACTGCCTAGTTACATCGACAAATCTGATGGGATTAGGGGCCTGTACCAAGGCTTTAATGTGTCTGTACAGGGCATTATCATCTACCGAGCTGCCTGCTTCTCTGTCTGTGACCCTGCAGAAGGAATGCTTCCAGGTCCCAAGAACACGCACATCTTCATCAGCTGTGTGACCGCGCAGTCTGTCACTGCTGTTGCTCAGTTAACTTCCTATCCACTTGACGCTGTTCGTCGAGGCATGATGATGCAGTCAGGGCGTAAAGCAACTGGTACATACACAGGCACACTGACTGCTGGAGGAAGATTGCTCCTGATGAAGGAAGCAAAGCGTTTTTCAAGGGTCCATGGTCCAACTTCCTCAGAGGCACGGGTGGTGCTTTTGTGCTTGTCTTTAAGATGAAATCAAGGCCAGCACCGCGGCTCACTAGGCTAATCCTCCGCCTTGCGGCGCTGGCACACCAGGTTCTAGTCCCGGTGGGGGCACCAGATTCTGTCCCGGTTGCCCCTCTTCCAGGCCAGCTCTCTGCTGTGGCCAGGGAGTGCAGTGGAGGATGGCCCAAGTGCTTGGGTCCTGCACCCCATGGGAGACCAGGATAAGTACCTGGCTCCTGCCATCGGATCAGTGCGGTGCGCCGGCTGCAGCGCGCCGGCCATTAGAGGGTGAACCAACGGCAAAGGAAGACCTTTCTCTCTGTCTCTCTCACTGTCCACTCTGCCTGTCAAAAAAAAAAAAAAAAGATGAAATCAAGGAGTTCAGGGGCTGGCGCTGCGGTGCAATAGGTTAAGGCCCTGGCCTGAAGCGCCGGCATCCCATACAGGTGCCGGTTCAAGTCCCGGCTGCTCCACTTCCAATCCAGCTCTCTGCTATGGCCTGGGAAAGCAGTGGAAGATGGCCCAAGTCTTTGGACCCCTGCACCTCCGTGGGAGACCTGGAAGAGGCTCCTGGCTCCTGGCTTCGGATGGGCACAGCTCTGGCCATTGCAGCCAATTGGGGAGTGAACCATCGGATGGAAGACCCCTCTCTCTCTGCCTCTCCTCTCTCTGTGTAACTCTGACTTTCAAATAATAAGTAAATCTTTTTAAAAAAAGTGCACACAAGTTATTTCCTAGGTTTGTTCCCCTGTAAACAGGCATGTTGTATTATAATCTTGAGCAGTCTTGACAGGCTCTTGTCTATCAAAAGCAACTGTGTGCGGTTGAAAATGGGAAGCAGTAATATTCTTCTGAGCAGTTTTCTCTTAAAGCTGTTTCCATCATGATGGTGATGGGACTCAATTACATTTTTTTTATTTCAGTCACTCCTGATAAATAATTTGAATAAATAAAAATATACACAATAAAAAATAATGCTGGGTTGAGCATTGTGGCAGAGTGGATTAAGCCACTGTTGGAGGTGCCCATATCCCATTGGAGTGCCTAGAATGAAGCCTTGCCTCCACTGCCTGTCCAGCTTCACGCTGATGCACCTGGGAGGCAGCTGGTGATGGCTGCCACTCCCGAGGGCGGTCCGGAGCGAGTTCCTGGCCCTTGGGTTCTGGAGAATACGCTAATGCATGGGAGACCTCTGTCTCTCCTTCTCTGTGTCCTTCTGCCATTCACATAAATAGACCTTAAAAACAGTTCAGTCTGTGGCACAGCTGGTTAGCTCCTGGGACACTGGAGTCCCATATTGGAGTGCCGGTTTGCGTCCCTACTGCTCCCCTTACTTGGACTCCTGCCACCCACGTGGGAGACCAGGATAGAGTTCCTGGCTCCTGGCCTCAGCCTGGCCAAGCCCTAGTAGTTGTGGCCGTTTGGGGAGGGACCAGCTGATGGGAGATATTCTCTTTCTCCCTCCCTCCCTCTCTCTCTCTCTTTCTCTCCCCCTCCCCCCTCCCTCCCTCCTTCCCTCCTTTTCAGATAAACAAATTTTTAGGGAAAAAAAGGTAACTCTAATTTTTCATGAACCTTTTGAAGCCTTCTCATATAAATTATTGGTGTTCTATATGATGTCTACAAAGGACAGAAACCTATTTAAAGGAAACTATGCATTTCCAAAAACAGGGAATCAAAATTGTATGTTTTCCCACTTTTCTAACTTTTTTTTTCCAATTGTTTTCTAGCTAAAGATTCCAGGCTTCAAGATCAAAGGCAGAACTCTCCTGCAGGGAATAAAGAAAATATTAAGCCCAATGAAGCATCACCTAGCTTCTCAAAAGCTGAAAATAAAGGTTAGAGTCTTTGGAGATAGCTGTGGAAATAGGAAAGGACTGTTTTCTCATTTTACGCACAATGCAGAATATTTTTCTTAACACTGTTCCTTAGTATTATGTGTATATAAATGTACCACTAAAAATGCCAAAAATCAAAATGCATATTTTACATCATTTTAATAATATTTTCTAGATTGTAATATTCTATACTAGAAGAATCTTAAGTTAGAGATTAGAAATCTGTGTCTAAATCTGTTCTTAATTTTGCAGGTTTGTCACCAATCATTTCTGAGCATAGAAAACAGATTGATGATTTAAAGAAATTTAAGAATGATTTTAGGGTAAGTGTCATATTGACTTATGAATTAGAATTTTAGAGGATAGCAATGACTAAGGATTTTCAGTTTGTCAATGTATTATATATATAATCAGAAACATTGGACTGTGTATAGAAATCTAAATAGTCATAAAATTGTCCTTGCTTATCCTTTCAGTGGGACACTAAAATCATGAGATTTGTAAGAATACAAGTTGTCAGTCGAAGGAGCCTAGTTCTGACATTTCAGCCACCGTAACACAGGTTATTTGATGTTTATTCTCTGTTCAGTGAAGCTAGATTTCAGTAGAGCGGAGCCTACTTTTGATGACCTGTTGTAGCAAGTGGGAAATGTACTGGGTCCTGGTGAGCTGTTGGAGCTGTACACTTCGTACACACGTGTGAAATGTAGCAGTCTTTGTATAATGTCTCTTCTGAACATATCCTAATCTCTCCTTGTTTTGCATAATATTAACGATAATATGCTATAGATATTAAAGTAGATTTTGAAACTAATTCAAGAAATTGTCCTGAAACTTATAGCTTCCTAGAGGGGGGAACCTGATTATCAGCCTTTAAAGAAAATGACTGCATGAAAAGGAGAGTGAATCAAGGAAAGAAGTAGACTTCTCAGCTGAACTGGCTTTCTGAAATTTTTCTAATGTTTATTAATTTTGATAATAGTTTTATTTTTACTTACAGGCAACATCAAAATATTACTTGCCAGTTCATATTTTAGCACATGTATCAGTAGTTAATGCCAATATCATCAACAGTTGTTGATTTTAATAGTGAATGAGTGTTCACGTACAACTGTCCAGCTAAATCAGTTCAGCACAGCTCAAGGCTTCCTGTGAAATCACCTCGCTCCTCTTCCTCTAGATGGAAGAGTTTCTTTCCTGTGCAGTTGTTTATACTTGAAGTGAATATGAATTGATTTCCTAAGCACCAGATAATACTATTTTGCATAGTCTTAAAGTTTGGTATAAATGATGTCATTGCTGTAGGTATTCTTGCCCATTTGGGTTTTTTTCCCCCAGATCATTTATTTTACAATTAATCAGTTCCCTCTTATAGTACTTTATTTTTTTTTTAAAGATTCATTCATTCATTTATTTTTATTTTATTTTTATTTTTGACAGAGTGGACAGTGAGAGAGACAGAGAGAAAGGTCCTCCTTTTGCCGTTGGTTCACCCTCCAATGGCTGCCATGGCTGGCGTGCTGCGGCCGGCGCACCGCGCTGATCTGAAGCCAGGAGCCAGGTGCTTCTCCTGGTCTCCCATGGGGTGCAGGGCCCAAGCACTTGGGCCATCCTCCACTGCCTTCCCGGGCCACAGCAGAGAGCTGGCCTGGAAGAGGGGCAACCAGGACAGAATCCGGCGCCCCGACCGGGACTAGAACCTGGTGTGCTGGCGCCGCAAGGCGGAGGATTAGCCTGTTGAGCCGCGGCACCGGCCTTCATTCATTCATTTAAAGAGTTACACAGAGAGAGAAGTAGAGGCAGAGAGAGAGGTCCTGCATCCATGGTTCATTCCCTAACTGGCCACCAAGTTCTTGGGCCATCTTCTACTGCTTTCCCAGGCCATAGCAGAGAGCTGGACTAGAAGTGGAGCAGCCAGGACTCAAACCAGCTCCCACAGGGGATGCCGGCACTGCAGGCAGCAGCCCCACCCACTACGCCATAGTGCCAGCCCCTCTTACAGTACTCTTGTGTTGAATTTATTATGTTATAAAGAAAAACATATTTTTACTTTGCAACAGATGAGCTTGTGTATGTTTGTAGCAGCTTTACTGAGCGATAATTTACATATCATACAATTCATTTAAAGTGTGCAATAGAGTGGCGTTGGTGTATTCACAGCATTGTACGACTGTCAGCACACTTGAGTGAACGTATTCATCCCTCCCAAAGAAACCCTGTGCTCTTTAGGACTCACTCAACATCGGCTCCAAACTCTTCCTCTCCCCAGCCCTTAGCAACCTCCGGTCTACATTCTGTTTCTCTGGATTTATTTGTTCTGAATACTTTATACAAATGGAATCTTTTTGAGCTGGCATTGTAGTCTAGAGGGTAAAACATCCCTTGTGGTCACTGGTTCAGTCCCAGCTTTTCCACTTGCTATCTGGCTCCTTGCCAATAGGCCTGGGAAAGCCGCAGAGGATGGCCCGAGTCCTTGGGCCTAGGAAAAGCTTCTGGCTCCTGGCTTCAGATCGGCCCAGCTCCAGCCATTACAGCCATTTGGGGAGTGAACCAGCAGATGGAAGATACCTGTCTCTCTTTCTCTCTCTCTTCCTCTGCGTCTATTCATTCCATTTTTTCTTGGATGAATAATACATTATATGAATTAATACCACATTTTGCTTTTTATCAGTTGGTAGCTGTTTGGATGGTTCCACTTTTTGACCTTTTCACCTTTTTTATGAATAGTGCTGCTGTGAACACTAGTGTACACTTTTTTTTTTTTGGAAGTTTTCATTTCCGTTTTGTGTATGCCTACGAATGGCTTTTCCTGACTATATGTTAACTTTCTGTAGAACCTTATGGGAGCTGGCCTGCTGTTGGCCAAGGCCGCTGTACTATCTAACGTTCACATCTTTGCCAGTGCTTGCTGCTGTCTGTCTGTGGTGGTTATAGCATTGCTTGTGATATATATCTTATGGTTTTATTATGAATGTTGCCGTAGTAAGTGCTTTTTTTTTTTTGCAGTTCTCTTGTGACTGATGGAGTCAAATATCAATTTCAGTGCTGCTGGCCATTTTTGTGTCTATTCAGATCCTTAGCCTGTTTTAAAAACCGAATTGTTGGGCCAGCATTGTGGCATATCAGATTAAGTCTCTGCCTGCAATGCCTGCATCTCAATTGGGTGCCCATTTGTGTTCTGGCTGCTCCACTTCTGATCCAGCTCTCTGCTAGTGTGCCTGGGAAAGCAGCAGATGACCCAAGTCCTTAAGCCCTGCACCCACATGGGAGACCTGGAAGAAGTTCCTGGCTTCTGACTTTGGACTGGCTCAGAGCTGGCTGTTGCAGCCATCTGGGAGTGAAGCAGCAGATAGAAAATCTCTATGTAATGCCACCTTTCAAATAAAATTAATAAGTTTTTTTAAAAAAGGATTTACTTTATTTGAGAGACAGAGGCGCAGAGAGAGAGAGAGAGAGAGAGAGAGTCTTCCGTCCACTGATTCACTCCTCAGATGGCTGCAACAGCTGGAGCTGGGCTGATCGGAAGCCAGGAGCCAGGAACTTTATTCTGGGGCTCCCACGCAGGTGCAGGTACAGGACTTGGGCCATCTTCCGCTTTCCCAGGCCACAGCAGAGAGCTGGATCAGAAGTGGCTCAGCCAGGACTCAAACGGCGCCCATATGGGATGCCAGCATTTCAGGTGGTAGCTTTACTTGCTATGCCGCAGTACCAGCCCCAATTAATAAGTCTTTAAAAAAAAAGAAAGAAAAAACATACTAAGTCAAAGAAGTGAAGCAGAATAGGCCACAGATTGGGGCGGGCATTTGGTAACAGGTGAAGACACTGCTTGGACACCTGCGTCCCGTCCTGGAGTGCTCTGGGTTTTAGTCTCCCCCCTTCGCTTTGCAGCGGCTTTGTGCTGACACATCCTGGGGGGAAGCACCTGATGGTGAGCTACTCGGGTCCCTGCTGCCCCACATGGGGACCCAAATGGAGCTCTGGACTCCTGACTTTTAAAAAATAAAAGTTTGAAGTGGGCTTAATAATTGTTCTCCAGGAAAATGTTATTAGCTAGCGTTTCTTTCGTATTTCCTATGTACTAGACACTATGCAAATTGCTTCTGTGGTAGTTAAGTCCTTTATTGTCCTAACATCCCTTTGAAGCAAGAACAGTTATTATCAGCAGTATGTATTTTAGGAGACGAGGTAAAGAGGAATTAAACAATTTGCCCATAGTCATGTGGCTTGTAAATTATAAGCCTGGCCATCTGGCGCTTAGGCTTCCAGCAGTGCTTTGAACAGTGACTAATACATACAGCACCGTTCAATGAATGAGACATCAGAGCTGCCCATATGACACACACGTGGTCCTGAACTACATTTGTTCACAGAAATCTCTAGTCTTCCATTGAGACAGAGAAAAGGGGAAAGCCTGTGAGGTTGTGGTGGTTGGGTTTTTTTTTCTTTTTTGGGGTTTGGGTTTGGGTTTTTTTTCCCCTGTCCCTGTCCCTTTGAGAGCTATCTGCAGACTCTGATGTAGCTATGTAAGTAGTACTGATAGCTTTACTTGTGTAAAAATCGCTAGTAATTGGATCTGTAATGGATTGATAGTGTGGGTTTGAATCTTGATCCCCACGTGTGTAACGTTGGTCACCTCTTCTCCGCCAAAATGGGATCAGCGTAGAAGCTGCTTCATAGGGTTTCTGTGCCTCTAACATGGTGCCTAGCACACAGTGTGCACATGCTACATGTTCTTTTTTAATTTTACTTATTTGGAAAGCAGAGAGACAGATGTTAACTGAATTGATCAGAGTCCGGTTGAAAACAGCATTAAATTTTATTCAGCTGGTTAAAATGAGGATTTCAACCAGAAATGAGTTGGTTGCCTGAGTTGGCTGTTCTGCAAGGCTGAGTTTGGTTACAGGCTTCATATTTTTCTTACACAATGAGTACGTGCATTGAATCAGGTTTAAACAATACAGACTTTGTGTGGTTATAAATCACGCTGAAAATCAGAGAATATAAATGGCAGAGCACCTGGTAATAGCCCACAAACTGCTTGTTGAGTAAGGAGCCACCTTCCCTTCCCACACTGGACGCTGTCTGTATACAGAAAGACAGCAAGCAGTGGACGCTGTCTGTGTACAGAAAGACAGCCAGCAGTGGACGCTGTCTGTGTACAGAAAGACAGCCAGCAGTGGACGCTGTCTGTGTACAGAAGCACAGCCAGCAGAGGCTCCAGCGGTCACGGAGCTCACTCCTGAAGGTGCAGGGCCGTTTCCTTGCTCGTGGCTGATGTGGGTGTGGTGGAGGAGAGATACTGCAGGGTCCTGGTACATGGGAAGCAGTGCAGTGCATCTCCACTTCCAGGACAGCTCCTGGCTGACTTAGGCCTCCGCAGGCTTCAGTGAAGTCCACAGGGAGATTTCCTGTACACTGGATCACTTCCCAAATCCCCATGACAGCCAGGGCCATTCTGGGCCTAAATCAGGGGAAGCTTAATCTTTATCTCCCATGTGGGTGGCAGGGAACCAGTGCTTGAGGCATTACCTGCTGCCTCCCAGGGTGTGCATCTACAGTGAGGTATAGTCAAGAGTAGAACTGGGACTTAAATGCAGGCATTCTGATTGGGGATATAGGTACCCCAAGCAGTGTCTTCAACCACCGTGCTAAATGCCCACTTCTTGGGATAACTGTGTATGTGTGTGTATTTCTTTTTATTATTTGTTTTATTTATTTGTAAGGCAGAGTGACAGAGAAAGAGCTCTTTCATCCATTGGTTCTCTCCCCCAAATGACTTTAATGGCTAGAGTTTGGGCTTGGACTAGGACGAAGCCAGGAGCCAGGAACTCCATCCAAGTATCCCACATGGGTAGTGGCGGCCCAAGCACTTGGGCCACCCACTGCTGCTTTCCCAGGTGCATTAATGAGCTGGATTAGAAATGGGGCAGCTGGAACTTGAACCAGCATTCCAATAGGGGATGCTGATATTGCAAGCAGTGCTTAACCCACTCCACCACATAACCAGCCACCATGATAATTCTTATCACTAAAATATAAATGACCCCACAGTGTCCGACCTGTGAGTGTTTTGTCAAGTAGAACCACTGTAAGGTAAGAAATCTGGAAGTGGCACAGTGTGCAACCCACAGTAAGTACTCTAGGTATAATTGCCATTATGAGAATAGCAGTAACAAAGGGCATCCTGGGCAGCAGCTCAAGTACTTGGGTTCCTGCTACCCATCTGGGTGACCTACATTGGGTCATAGACACTTGGTTGACCTGGCTTACCCCTGGCTGTTGTGGGAATCCGGGGGGTAAACTAGCAGATGGAAGATTTCTTGCTGTGTCTTTGCCTTTCAAATAAAATGAAACCAGCAAGAAAAGCCTTATTTTCATGTTTACTCAAAGACCTTTGTGATAAATAGCCTTGAAGTCTACTGTAGTAAATCATTGGTCTGTTGTGTGTGTAGCCTCTTTCATGGTTGCAGGCTTGCTCAGCAGGTTCCTTTCTTGTGATTTCAGTTGCCACTGGGCTCAGATAATGCCCTTGCCAACTTTTGCCCTCAGCAGCTAGACAGCTGTGGGGCTCCCTAAGTGATGCAGGGGAGTTTGGATTCCTCTGAGTTGCAGATGCCAGGGGTGAACCCATTGATCCTGAGGAGGGATCTTGTCTCTCAGTGACTTGAGGCCTCCTCTCCTCCTGGCAGGGGTTCCTCTCTAGTTCATTCTCTCCTCCCTCCAGAGTCTGCTGTCATTTCTACTTGTGATGCTACCATTTTTCTTGTTGTTGCCTTAAGCTGTTTCTGTTTTCTTTCTTTTGTGAAGGATTTTATCTGAGGTCATGTCCAGCCAGTGGTAGCATTCCATTTCTTCTTTTCTGTGAACTTAAAACCCTGTCACTTGATTCACTAACTCTTGATGCTCCTTGCACTGAAGTTTCCTTCTCTTCACGGGTTTGGCAGATGGGACTGTCCAGTAGGTCTCCCCTGGAATCCATCTGCTGCCCACCTTCCCACCCACAAGGCCTGGAACTTAGTCCTGCCCACTTAATAGTCTCTCTACATCCTCATTTTCCTCCTCTAAGTTCTTTTCCACAAAGGTGCTATGCTTATCTTTCTATGCCATGCATCTGCTCAGTACTGGATCCTGCTTAAAATTCTCAGTGACTTCTTACTGCCTGGAAAATTAAAAGCCAGAATCCATAACATAGCTTTCAAGTTGCCTTATCAATTGTTCTTGATAAGTCTGTCATTTCCAACCAGTAGTGCTTTTCTGTTTTGGCATGGCGCCATTTTTTGCCCATTCCTTTGAAGTTTTAAGCATGTGTGTCTTTTACTTAGACGATGTTCCTTTTCCCAAACACTTCTCCTAAACACCTTCCATACTTTGTGGTACATGACACCTGGAATGAAAAGCCTTTCCTTTCTGTAGTTCGCCTTCTTGGTGGGATCCTGTAGCACTTCTGCATTTTGTAGTTGAGCATTTGATGTCATTCAGATGGCAAGCCTAGTAGGATAGGAGTGGTTTCACACTTTCCGTACCTAACAGGCACAGTTCCTCACACAGTTCCTGACCTTTTGAACTGTTGATGCTGCGATGCAGGAGTGCTTTGATGACTACGGATGTGTCGTGTGCACACTCCGATTGTTGCCTTATATAATGTTTATATTGTTGTCATATAAACAGTACTCTCAAAGTTATCAAGAAGCCTTCTTCAGAACATTTCATGCCTAATACTTTACTTGCACATGTAAAAAAATGATTTAAGTGTTATTTAAAATATTTAGTGTAATTATTTTTCCTTTAGTTACAGCCAAGTTCTACTTCTGAGTCTATGGATCAGTTACTAAACAAAAATAGAGAAGGAGAAAAATCCAGAGATCTGATCAAAGACAAAATGGAGCCAAGTGCTAAGGATTCTTTCATTGAAAACAGCAGCAGCAACTGCACCAGTGGCAGCAGCAAGCCGAATAGCCCCAGTGTTTCCCCCTCAGTGCTGAGTACTGCAGAGCACAAGAGGGCACCTGAACTCACGTCCCAGGGAGTGCAGACTTCCAGTCCGGCGTGTAAGCAAGAGAAAGAGGATAAAGAGGAGAAGACAGATGCAGCTGAGTGAGTAAATGTAAAAGTACCTCCTGGCACTCATTCAGGTTTTTTTATTTTTTACTTTTTTGACAGGCAGAGTGGACAGTGAGAGAGAGAGACAGAGAGAACGGTCTTCCTTTGCCATTGGTTCACCCTCCAATGGCCGCCGCAGCCGGCGCACCGCACTGATCCAATGGCAGGAGCCAGGTGCTTCTCCTGGTCTCCCATGGGGTGCAGGGCCCAAGCACTTGGGCCATCCTCCACTGCACTCCCTGGCCACAGCAGAGAGCTGGCCTGGAAGAGGGGCAACCGGGACAGAATCCGGCGCCCCGACCGGGACTAGAACCCGGTGTGCCGGCACTGCAAGGCGGAGGATTAGCCTAGTGAGCTGCGGCGCTGGCCTCAATTTTTTTACAAAGCATTCTAGTCCTCTCAATTCAAGGATCTGGGCTTTAAGATTCCTTTATAAGTAGCCCTTAATTTACAGATAACTGGTCAAAATATATTTACCCTAAGCTAGTTATGTCATTGCACCTTGTAGTACTCCCCCCTCACACACAAAGATTTGTGATCATCTAATGAGAATTGTTTAATATATGTTTAGCAGTTTTTTCAAAAAAATGGTTAGATATTGGAAGTTTTAAAGAAATATCAATTCCAGTAGTTTTCAATGGCCTTTATTGTCTTCTGGTTTAGGCAAGTTAGGAAATCAACATTGAATCCCAATGCAAAGGAGTTCAACCCTCGTTCCTTTTCTCAGGTAAGCTCACTCCTTTTTTTTTTTTTTTTTTTTTTTTTTTTTAGGTAATCTAGTCTATGAAAAAAAAGATTATAATTGGTAGTGTTGTTCCTCCCATACCTCCCTCTGAAATCATCTGTAGTGCACTACAACAACTTTTTTTAAGGATTTATTTATTTTCTCTGAAAAGCGTACTTGCAGAGAGAGAGGAGGAGAGAGAAATCTTCCCGCTCTTTCATTGTCCAAATGGCTGCAGGGCCACAGATGGGCTAGGCTGAAGCCAGCAGCCAGGAACTCAACCTGGGTTTCCCAAGTGAGTGGTAAGAGCCAAGCACATGGGTCATCTTCCACTGCTTTCCCAGGTGCAGTAGCAGGGAGCTGGATGGGAAGTAGAGCAGTCAGAACTAGAACCAGTGCTCATTTGGGATGCCAGCATCGCAGGTGGCGTGGCTTAATCCTCTGTGCCACAAAACCAGTCCCAAGATCATTGTTTTGTCATCAGTTAGATGCAATCTTGGATAAATCTTTGAGTTAGAATTTGAAAATGGTTGATAAGCTAGACTGTCAGGTTTGTAGATGGACTCCTGTTCTTATTCTATTAGGAAGAAGAGAGTTAGTTTTTATTTTTGAAAACATTTTCTCCAGTTCCATAAGAATAACTGCTACTAGTTTTTACTAGTTTTTTTTTTTTTTTTTTTTTGTCTTTTTTTTTTTGACAGGCAGAGTGGACAGTGAGAGAGAGAAACAGAGAGAAAGGTCTTCCTTTGCCGTTGGTTCACCCTCCAATGGCCGCCACGGCCAGCATACTGCGGCCGGCGCACCGCGCTGATCTGATGACAGGAGCCAGGTACTTATCCTGGTCTCCCATGGGGTGCAGGGCCCAAGCACTTGGGCCATCCTCCACTGCACTCCCTGGCCACAGCAGAGAGCTGGCTTGGAAGAGGGGCAACCGGGACAGAATCCGGTGACCCGACCGGGACTAGAACCCGGTGTGCCGGCGCTGCCGGGGCACCGGCCACTGCTACTAGTTTTAATATTAGTTTTTTTTCTTTTTTTTTTTTTTTAAGATTTTTAATGTATTTGAAAGTCAGAGTTACACACAGAAGGAGAGGCAGAGAGAGGTCTTCCATCCACTGGTTCACTCCCCAATTGGCCTCAGCAGCCAGAGCTGTGCCAGTCTAAAGCTAGGATCCAGGAGCTTCTTCTGGGTCTCTCATGCAGGTGCAGGGGCCCAAGGACTTGGGTCATCTTCTACTGCTTTCCCAGGCCACAGCAGAGAGCTGGCTCAGAAGCAGAGCAGCTGGGACTCAAACTGGCACCCATGTGGGATGCCGGCACTGCAGGCAGTGGCTTTACTTGCTACGCCATAGTGCTGGCCCCCAATATTAGTTTTTGTTATTTATTTATTTGACAGGTAGAGTTATAGATAAAGAGAGACAGAAAGGTCTTCCTTCTGTTGGTTCATGCCCCAAATAGCCGCTGCGGCCAGCACTGCGCTGATCCGAAGCCAGGAGCCAGGTGCTTCTTCCTGGTCTCCCATGCAGGTGCAGGGCCCAAGAACTTAGGCCATCCTCCACTGCACTCCCGGGCCACAGCAGAGAGCTGGCCTGGAAGAGGAGCAACTGGGACTAGAACCCGGCGCCCAAATAGGGTGCCAGTGCTGCAGGCGGAGGATTAACCAAGTGAGCCACGGCGCCGGCCCTTCAATATTAATTTTTAATTAGCACAGTTCAACTTTCTAACAGAGCATTTGCATTTTTCCTTTATTTAAAACAGGAAATTTATTTTGTGGGTTTTTTTTTAATCCAACGAAAGGGACTAATTAAAAGAGTGAAAAATCAAGTGGTTTGGGAAAATGAGTCTCCTGTCTTTAAATTGTTGTAGTAGTTCAATTTTTACCTTGAGATGGTTGAATTTTGCTTTTGTTTTTGTAGCCAAAGCCTTCTACCACCCCAACTTCTCCTCGGCCTCAAGCCCAGCCGAGCCCATCCATGCTGGGCCATCAGCAGCCAACCCCAGTTTACACTCAGCCTGTTTGTTTTGCACCAAATATGATGTATCCAGTCCCTGTGAGCCCAGGCGTGCAAGTAAGTCCTGGAATTTGATGTCCATTTAGCTTCCCTAGGTGCTTGAAGTTTTTACCAGGCCTTCTTTAGACTTGATGGCTCAAGGCAGTGATGGTAAACAAATATTTGAAAGAGGGAGGCATGCAGGATTTGGTGTATTGTTAGTATGAAGACCTAAATCTGAGAATTTCTTTTAATGAGAGCAGTGATTCACAGTTATTGTAGTTTGGGGTTTATGCTTTTAGCTTTGGGTATGATTTTATTTTTTAATGACTCAGAAAATCAGGAAACCTCAGATCTAGTTCTCTAGCAGTATGGAACTTAACATGAATAGAAACACATTCTTATTATCATGAACCTAATGTTAATTTATCTTTTTAATTCCTTCAAGCCTTTATACCCAATACCCATGACGCCCATGCCAGTGAATCAAGCCAAGACATATAGAGCAGGTAAAGGTGAGAACAATCCTGCCTGTGTCTGCTTGTGGTCTGCATGCTGCATGGATTAAACAACACGGTGTATAGTGAATAAATATTTAATAGTTCAACTTTTGACTTTCTCTAATTCTTATTTTTATTTGAGGGAGAAAGAGAAGAAGGGCAGGAGGCAGACTGAGAGAAATCACCCATCTTCTGGTTTACTCCTCAGATGCCCGCACTGGCTGCAGCTGGGCTAGGCCACAGCTGAGAACTGGGCACTCAATCCAGACTTCCCACGCGGATGGCAGGAATCTAAGTATCAGAACTCACCTGCTGCCTCTCTAGGTGCATATTAGCAGGGAGCTGGAATTGGGTCTGGAGCAAAGACTCAGAACCAGGCCCACCAATATAGGTGCATGGATCCCCAACAGCAGGCTTTTTTTTTTTTCCTCTTAAAGATTAATTAATTTATTTGCAAAGCAGAGTTACAGAGAGACAGAGGCAGAGAGAGATGCCTTCCAACCCCTGGTTCACTCCCCAGATGGCTGCAGTGGTCAGAGCTGCACTGATCCGAAGCCAGGAGCTTCTTCCGGGTCTCCCAAATGGGTGTAAGGGCCCAAGGACTTGGGCCATCTTCTGCTGCTTTCCCAGGCTATAGCAGAGAGCTGGATTGGATGTGGAACAGCCGGGACTTGCATCAGCACGCACATGGGATGCTGGCACTGCAGGCAGCAGTTTTACCCACTATGCCACAGCACCGGCCCCAACAGTCTCAACTACTGCCCAAAATGCCTACTCAAGCTTTGACATTTAAGGCTATGCATTGATTTTGGATTATCAATACTAGGGTATTGGATGAAATTCTATTTATTTATTTATTTATTTATTTTTGACAGGCAGAGTGGACAGTGACAGAGAGAGAGAGAAAGGTCTTCCTTTTTCCGTTGGTTCACCCTCCTCCAATGGCTGCTGCGGCCAGCACACCAAGCTGATCCGAAGCCAGGATCCAGGTGCTTCTCCTGGTCTCCCACGTGGGAGCAGGGCCCAAGCACTTGGGCCATCCTCCACTGCCTTCCCGGGCCACAGCAGAGAGCTGGACTGGCAGAGAAACAACCGGGACAGAATCCGGCATCCCGATCGGGAATAGAACCCAGTGTGCCAGCGCTGCAGGTGGAGGATTAGCCTATTGAGCCGTGGCACTGGCTGGATGAATTTTTATGTATAAAATCGGAAGAGGCAGGATTATTTATTTAAAAGGCAGAGTTACAGAGAGGCAAAGAGAGAGAGTTCTTCCATCCATTGGTTCACTCGCCAAGTGGCTACAGTGGCCAAAGCTAGGCCAATCCAAAGCCAGGAACCAGAAGCTTCCTCCAGATCTTCCGTGTGGATGCAGGGGCCCATGGACTTGGGCCATTTTCTGCTGCTTTCCCAGGCCATAACAGAGAGCAGCCAGGATTCGAACTGGTGCCCATATCAGGTGCCGGCCATCTTACCTGCTATGCCACAGTGCCAGCCCCCAGAATTTTATTTAAAGTATAAGGTAACGTTCTTCTGAAACCAATGTGGAAGTTCTATTAGATGAGTATTTTCCTCATCTTTTTAAAATGGGAAGTTGGGGGCCAGTGCTGTGGCATAGTGGGGTAGGCCTCTACCTGCAGCACTGGCATCCCATATGGGCATCGGTTCGAGTCCCATCTGCTCCTCTTCTGACCCAGCTCTGTGCTATGGCGTGGGAAAGCAGTAGAAGATGGCCCAAGTCCTTGGGCCCCTGCACCCATGTGGGTGACCTGAAGAAGCTCCTGGCTCATGGCTTTGAATTGACCCAGCTCTGGCCATTGCGGCCATTTGGGGAGTGAACCAGTGGATAGAAGACCTTTCTCTCATGTGGTTAAAATCATGTTCATCTTAAAAGAAATCTTTCAATGTTGGAAATGCTCTAAAGGATCCCTTTTTTTGCTATGTGGTTAATTTTGAGCTTTTAGTTGCTATGATTCTGCTTGATAAACAATAGAAGTTAGAACGATTTATATAGAAAATATATTGTTAAATGCCTAGTAATTACACTGCTGGTAGAAAATTTTCACTGTAACAAGAGTTCCTGGTGTTTGAAGGAATCCTGATTTTTTGAATCTTAACTCTTAAATATTTTTTTTTACAAGTATGATAGGCTGGGGGTGTTTTTGTTCAAGTCCCACTTCTGATCCAGCACCCTGTTAACGCACCTTGGAAAGCAGCTTAGTATGGCCCTACATCCACGTGGGAGATCCAGAGGAAGCTCTTGGCTCCTGGCTTTGAATCGGCCCAGCTCTGTCCTTTGCAGGCATTTGGGTAGTGAACAAGTGGATGGAAGATTGATCTATCTCTCTCTCTGCCTTTCAAATAAATAAAGTCTTTGGAAAAAAAAAAAACACACACACACACACACAGTCTGAGGTCTGCTGAGCCAGTTTCACAGAGGCTCTCCTGATAGGACAGAACAGACGACTGTGAAGAATTCCAGCTGTGAGCACATGCTGTGTGGGAGATGGGAGTGATTTGGTATTTACTTTATCCGCCATTCAGATTGTATGGTTATCAAGATTTTGCCATATTTACTTCATATGTACTTGTTTCTTTGCTGAAGTATTTAAAATAAATCCCAGACAACATGCCTTTTAATTCCTACATATTTGGCTGGTAGGTATCTACTTAAAAATATAGATGTTTTTTAGGTATCCAGAGTGTTTGCATCTTATTTTATTTTATTATTTGAAAGAGTTACAGAGAGAGGTAGAGACAGAGAGAGGTCTTCCATCCGCTGGTTCACTCCCCATATAGCCGCAATGGCCAGAGCTGCATTGATCCGAAGCCAGGAGCCAGGAGCTTCTTCTGGGTCTCTCACGTGGGTGCAGGGACCCAAGGATTTGGGCCATCTTCCACTGCTATATCCCAGGCCATGGCAGAGAGCTGGATCAGAAGCAGAGCAACTGGGACTCAAACTGGCACCCATGTGGGATGCCAGCACTGAGCAGCTTTACTCGCTATGCCATAGTGCTGGCCCCCAGTATTAGTTTTTTGTTGTTTATTTATTTGACAGGTAGAGTTATAGACAGAGAGAGCCGGGATTAGAACCGGCACCCATATGGGATGCAAGCACTTCAGGCCAGGGCTTAACTGGTTGCACCACAGCGCCAGCCCCTATATCTTATTTTCTCATCTTCTTGCAAGGCAGAGTGACAGGTATCTTCCGTCCAGTGGTTCACTCCCCAAATACGCTAGATTGGCCTACTCTGGGTGTTTCATGTCACTGATGTCATACTGCATGTAACGTTTTGTGACTGACATCTTTGATTTAGCATGATTTCAGGACTTGTCTGTTGTAGCAGTGTATATGTCATTCTTTTTTGTGGCTAAACAATATTCATTTGTGAATATACTGCATTTACCTGTTGAGTTGATCAGCGTTTGGATGGTTTCTGACTTGTAGCTGTGACTGCTACTGCTATGAACATGGACAAGTTCTCATTTGGAGTTTAGTTTTCATTTCTCTGAGAGTGGAATTCTTTTGTTGGAATTTGCCAGCATTTCAAAACAGCTGTACCATTTTATGTCCTTGTCAGCACTTGATACTTTCTCTTGGGGTCTGTGCATCCTAGTGGGTATAAAGTGGTGTCTCATTGTGGTTTTTTTGTTGTTGTTGTTGTTGTTTGGTTTTTTTGTTTTTTGGTTTTTTTTTGTTTTTTGTTTTTGTTTTTTTTTTTTGACGGGCAGAGTGGACAGTGAGAGAGACAGAGAGAAAGGTCTTTCTTTGCCGTTGGTTCAACCTCCAATGGCTGCCAAGGCCGGCGCACCACGCTGATCCGATGGCAGGAGCCAGGTCCTTCTCCTGGTCTCCCATGGGGTGCAGGGCCCACGTACTTGGGCCATCCTCCACTGCACTCCCTGGCCACAGCAGAGAGCTGGCCTGGAAGAGGGGCAACCGGGACAGAATCTGGTGCCCCCACCGGGACTAGAACCTGGTGTGCCAGCGCCGCAAGGCGGAGGATTAGCCTGTTGAGCCGCGGCGCCGGCTTTCACTGTGGTTTTGATTTACATTTCCCTAATTAATTAATGATGTTGAGCCTCTTTTCATGTGTTTAATGCACATGAGTATGAATATCCTCTTTCTAGAAATGTTGATTTACATACTTGACCTTGGTTTTTTTTTTTTTTTTTAAGATTTATTTATTTGAAAGTGTTACGGGAGCGGGGGGTGTCTTCAATCTGCTGGTTCATTCCCCAAATGGCCACAACCATCTGAAGCCAGAAGCCAGGAGCTTCTTCCAGATCTCCCATGTGAGTGCAGGGGCCCAAGTACTTGGGCCATCTTTCACTGCTTTCCCAGGCACATTAGTGGGAAGCTGGATTGGAAGTGGAGCAGCCAGGACTCGAACCAGCACCATATGGAATGCCGGTGCTGCAGACCAGGGGCTTTAACCTGCTGCACCACAGCACCAGTCCTTTGATCTCATTTTTAATTTATCTTCTAATTACTGTGAGTTGTAAGTGTTCTTCATATAATCTACTCATAGATCTTTTATCTGATTTGATTTACAAATATCTTCTCCTTTTGTATAGATTGTCTTTTTACTTGATGATATCCATTGCAGTTCAGAAGTTTTTGATTTTCATAAAATTCAGTTTATTGTTTTCTTCTGTTGCTTGCGCTTTTGATGTCATATCTAAGAAACCGTTGCCTAACTCAGGGCCTCAAGAATTTACTCTTCAAATGTCTTCTAAGCGCTTTATAGGTTACCTCTTAGCAGTGAGGTCTGGGATCCGTTTGAGTACATTTTAGTGTGTGGGGCAGCGTGATATCCACATTGTTTTGCATGTGATATCCATTGCCCTAGCCCCATTTATCAAAAAAAGCTCTTCTTCCCTCATGAACTTGTCTAGGCAATCTTTGTTGACATTTATTGTTATGTTTTCTTTTGTGAATCATGGAAGAAAAATATCAATATTACTCTGTTTCTTGTTTCCTTTTGGACATCTGTGTCCTAGAAATGACTGACTAT